TGCTAGCAATGCGATACTTTGAACAACCCGGCACTGCGATTTTCGCAACTCGAACCTGAATCCAGGGCCGAATGCATGTTGCGTGGCCGAGCCGAGTTTTAGTAGTTGCCCGTTTTCTGTTGCTAGCAGTTTTACGTGGTTCTGGTGAGGGTTGCATGTGGTCGAAATGTGTTCGATGTCACCGGAAGCTTCAGGCGATTCCTAATTTATGCGGGAAATACCGGCTTCCGGGCCAAGACGTTGTGGGATCGAATTTTTTTCTGCTACGTCTTTTTATGGTTTTTTCAGAAATGGTCGAGAATGGCGATGATCAGACTCAGCAGGATACCTCAGGGCGAAACATCAGCGAGCATGAAAACAGGCTGCAATCGCAGGAATCGAGAACTGGCACTCAAGAAGTAGAGTATTTACCGTTACATTTGATATTTGTTAGATGAAACGGCTACTAATTCCGCACCAATGACTCACACTAACAACAAACAAAGACAAATAAATTCTAATTTTAGAAACTTCAAACTCAAAAAACAAAAAAAAAAGGCACAAAACGAAAAAAGAAATGTATACGACTTAATGGACTGAAACATTTCTTACCTATAACAAATATTTCAATACTCCCATTTCCCCGTTTCCACTTCGTTTTCCTTCCTTTTCCAATTTCGTCATTTTAAAAAATTCAAATTCGAAAAATCAAGAAAAAAAAGCACAAAACGGAAAAATGTATGCGACTTAATGGACCGAAACATTTCTTACCAATTACAAATATTTCAGTACTCCCTTTTCCCCGTTTCCACTTCATTTTCCTTCCCTTCTTTTTCCAATTTCATCATTTTATATCTTAGCCTTAAATAGTAAAAAAAGTGCACTTTCCAGAGATGTCCCGAACAACTGTGCCATTTTCTTTATTCATTTTTTTTGCCATTTTCTTTCTTCTTTATTTTCCCAAATCGGAGAGATCATTTGTTTTCGAATCCGAAAAGTTACAAGTCATTTTTTGTTAAAATTATGAGAGTTAAGGGTTACTCAGCGTCGAGTCTGCAAATCGGCGGTTGTCATTTATTAGCTGAAGAATCAGTTATCAGTAATTTCACATTGTTCTTTTTTTTCCATTTTTTCATCATTTTTCAGATTTTCTACTTTTTCCATTTGTTTTTCATCTTTCTTTTTTTTTTGGTCGAAAGATCGTTTTTATGAAATTTTTTCATCTTTTTTTTTTCATTTATCGTCAAATCGTCCTTCAGATTTCTTAAAGTTCCGTATAATGATACGGAAAGAATCAAATATCAGTAATTTCACATTGTCTTTTTTTTAGTTTATCGTCATTTTTCAAATTTTTCATTTTTTTTATTTGTTTTTTTTCAGTTTTTTTTTGTCGCTAGATCGTTTTCAAAAAATTTTCCATTTTTTCATTTTTCGTCAAATCGTCCTCTAGATTGCTCAGAGTTTCCTCATCATTACTTATCGCTTCAGTATTCGTCAAAGTTAATTAAATGTTGAATTTATTAAACTGAAATAAATTGCAGTCAGCCTCGTCGTCAATGCGGCAGCAGCAACAGCAGCAGCAGCACTCGCGGCGTCCTGATGGTAGCCGGAGGGCTGAAATAACTGAAAGCTCCACTCAAGGTGGTATTTTTTAATTCAGTTATAATGACTCATTGTTTACAGGACAGTTCACAACCGCTGCCGCCCTATCGATTACTCCTCGGCCACCGCATATGCCGTGCTCGCACCGTGACCCTTGCTCCCCGCTAACGGTCTTATTCTTACCCCGTTTTTCGCCCTGCGCGGCTGTTTCCTTTGCGATTGTTTGTTATATTTTATTAACGCTGTAATTGAATCTTTATTTACAACCTTTGGGGCAAGATTCAAGTTTGGGTTTCGCACCATTTTAGTCGTTTGTGTTTACAGTTCAGGGATGAAACACAGACGTCACCCAATGCAAATACCGGCTAGCTTAAATGAGGTTGTATAATTTGGCTTCTTCGCCGAATATCAAATAAACATAGTCGACTGTTCCATTCCTCTTTTCTCTTGTCGCTGCACCTTGCCAGCAGCAATGCTACACTTTCCGATACTTAGCCTGGGACTGAGGTAACCTTCTTCGTACCCGGAAGCTGTACTCCTCCTTAAGCACAACACCATTACCAAAAGTTGACATTAATTGTAATTTTAATTTTAGATGATGTGTGTTTATGTAAAAAGTAAGGGTAGGAAAGTAAGGGAATAAAAAGGAATGTGAATTCGTTTTCTTTTCAGAAGCCAGTGATGAAGAGGAAGAGATGGAGTTGAAGTATGGAGCGCAGCACGTTATCCATCTGTTTATTCCGGTTTCGATCTGCATGGCATTCGTTATATTCACGATGAATACTGTTGGTTATTATACACGTAAAGATGGCCAATACTTGTAAGTCGTACGTTATTATTCCCTTTAGTGAATTTTTGCTAACGAGAAATTTATCCTGGAGGATTCTCGGAATTGAAAATGGCAAATTTCTGGACTTTTTTTTCTAGAGGAATAAGATAATCTTTTACATATTTTTCGTATAAATACTCGATTAAGCTGTAGTTTATAATCAGATTTTGTAGTTGTACAGCTGAGATATGCCGCAAAAAGGAAAAAAAAATGCATCGGATATAGACACAGACATACACACACACGCACGGACAGACACACACACATATATATACACAAAAAACACAGATAACTCCATGACAATATGCGTTTTGTACAGCTGTTGCACAGCACAAAATATATAACAAGTGATCAGTGTGAGTATCCCATGTTAGTGATGTTATTGGAAGAAAATCAGTGTATGTTCCCCGTATGAGTGATTGTTACTGGATTTTGATCCCGTACATTGGGTGCAGCTGTGCCAAAAAATCTTGTATAACATACCTTTTTTGTGATATTAACGGAAAATCACATTATTTTTCTTTCCATTACATTTCCCATTTTTTTTTTTTTTTTTTGAGAGGGGGAGGGGGCTACTTATCCTGAGCTTTTGCTTCTTTTATTCTGCAGAATCTATACTCCATTCACGAAAGAAACCGACGATACGGGTGAGAAGATAATGATGTCGCTCGGAAATGCATTCATTATTTTGGGTGTAGTGATATTCATGACAGTTTTATTGATTATTCTTTATAAATTTCGATTCTACAGGGTTTGTCGTATCAAATTTTTTTTTTCACTAACTGTTCTTCGCCGTGAGTTTTTAAATTTTTTCCGGGAATCCCTCCAAATTTGTGTACTTTTTTTGGAAGCAGCCTGTGGCTAGTTTATCGTGAAGATTCTTAGAAAAAGTCAAAAGTCAAACGTCAAAACTCCCTCCAAATTGTGTTTTTTAATTTTTTACGGGAATTTCTCCAAGTTTTTGTGCATTTTTAGAAGCAATCTGTGGCTAGTTTATCGTGAGGATTCTTAGAAGAAGTCAAAAGTCAAAACTCTCTCCAAATTGTGTTTTTTCATTTTTTTCCTGGAATTCCTCCAAATTTATATGCATTTTTAG